AACGTCAGAAATACATGTACCCTCCCCTGGGCATTGGTGTTGCATGCAGTCATAGGGGAACTGCTGCATGTTCCTCTGCCTTTCCTCTCTCAGGAATGCAGTTTCCATGTCCGCTGTGTGTGTGTCTGCCTGTGCACATGTGCTGCATCAGAGGGGGACCATGTCTTGAGTGGAGCAGCTGGTGCTTGTATGGGCTGATGTAGGAGAAGGACTTTGCCTACTGTTTCATCTCCTGGTTTTGGTGGTAGAAGCTGTTGGTTTCTGATTTTGCTGTGGAAGGTCTTCCAAGTTACCAAATACTTATGAGGGATGTTGTCTGCACTGCACTTTACGTACCAAGACCAGAGTTATCTTCAAAATCAGGCTCAGACTACTTCAGCTGGAACCAAAGACCAATGTGAAAATTGCCTCATGATGTGTGAATTGTTTTGTTTAAAAATAGGCTTAAACCTGACTAATAACCCTCAAAGTGGTTTGAGTCTCTGATTCCCTCAAAGCAGGCCTTTAGAGCTGTGTGAGCAGCAAGGGAACTGTCAGGTGAAGGCAACCAGAGGTTGGGCTGGCTGGGCTGAGACAGATGCAGCATGTTCCACTGTGATGGAACTTGCTTGGCGAATGCTGTGTGGGAGAGAGAAAGTGTCCAAAGGGGGAGCGGAGTCATTCCAGTGGAGGGGGGTTGTTTTCATTAACAGAGGTAGCACTGGGGACTCTGCAGCACTTTCACTTCATGGAATCCCAGACTGGTTTGGGTTGGAAGGGACCTTAAAGCTCATCCAGTTCCAACTCCTTCCCATGGGCAGGGACCCCTTCCACTATAGCAGCTTGCTCCAAGTCCCTGTGTCCAGCCTGGCCTTGAGCACTGCCAGGGATGGGGCAGCCACAGCTTCTCTGGGCACCCTGTGCCAGCGCCTCAGCACCCTCACAGGGAAGAGCTTCTGCCTCAGAGCTCATCTCAGTCTCCCGTCTGGCAGGTTAAAGCCATTCCCCTTGGCCTGTCCCTACAGGCCCTTGGCCAAAGCCCCTCTCCAGGTTTCCTGCAGCCCCTTCAGGCACTGGAGCTGCTCTCAGGTCTCCCCTTCAGGAGCCTTCTCTTCTCCAGGCTGCCCCAGCCCAGATCTCTCAGCCTGGCTCCAGAACAGAGCTGCTCCAGCCCTTGCAGCATCTCCATGACCTCCCCTGGTCCTGCTCTGAACTTCCCTCTCAAGAAGCTTAAGCATGGAGTGGGCACCTTGGTTTGGGTCTGATCACTCCCTGGACAGCCCTGTTACACACCATGGACTCCTCCACCTCCAGCATCCCACCAACAGTGGTTGGATGAACCCCTTCCCTCCCTCTCTCCTGCCCCCTCAAAAGAACACATTGGAGCACTGGTGGCAACTACTACCAAGTGCCCAAGCAGTGCCAGCACAGCACCATGTGCCTGTGAGAGGGCCTTGCTCATAGTCTCAAATGTGTGTGTGTGACACCTACAGCCCCTTCTTAACTGACAGAGAGAGATGTTATCATTTCTGCTGTCCCCACATCCTCTTTTCAGAGCTCTGTTCTATCTTGGTGCATGGGGGTATTTCCATCCCTGACTGTGAGGACCTCAGCTGCAAGAAATACTGCGTATGATGAGCCCTGGGCAGGGATTTTTGCTGATTGCTGTAGTGAGTCATTATTTCCTGGCAGTGTGAGGCTTCACCACTTGGGGACACTCCCTGTGTGAGCCTGGGAAATGGAGCTTTCGAAGCACCGAGCATCCCTCAGTGCGGAATCCAACAGCCCCGAGCCTTGTAGAGGTGAGTGGGGCTTTCAGGTGGTTGAAGTCCAGAAGCCTCTAGTGGGACAGCCAGGATACCTTGGGAAAGGCACTTCCAGAAGAAACCAATACATTGAGAGCCATAAGGTGTCAGTTCGAATGGGAGGCCTCTGGCAACCTATGGGAATGGTGCTCAAGTGCTTTCACACTGGTTGCTATGCACAGTTTTGTTATTAACGTAAGTCAATAGCTTCTGAATGTAAAGTAGCCCTGATTTCACTATGGAGCTGAGTCTGTCTCCTCCTTGCCTTCCTGGGGCCTGATTATATCAGCCTGCCTGGGTCTGCTGGCCATGCTGCTTGCTAGAAACCATCTGCCAGAAGGACATGGATGGATCTTGGCAAGTGCAAACACCTGCATCTTGCAAGGCCTTCCCCAAGGAGGGGTAAGACAAGAAGGAGGCTACAGCTTCCTAGATGTTCTCTGCACTTCTGGTGAGGTGGTTAAGTTTACGCTTGGAATTATTGAGTCAAGGGCCTCCACCATTGTGCCAGCTATGGGATTGCATCCTGTGAGAGCATCTTCAATCTGATGTTGTTGGTGGGTATTGGCTCCAAAATGATCCTCTGGGAATGCTGGCTCCCCTAGCAGGAAAGAAGGGAGCTCTGCCTTTCCATGGATGCAAATGGTGGATCTTAGAAAGTGTATGTGGCTTTTTGGCCATGACAGCATGCAGGGGGCTGGCTGAAAGAGGGGTGCAGTGAAATGTGCAGGTGGAAATGAGTTTGGACCTGATTTGGCTGTGTGCCTTACCACTGCAGTGAGCAGGAGGAGTTTTGGGTTCAGAAAATGATGGGGTCTAAGGTGTCATTAACTCAGCTGTGCACCTGTGTGAGGTGAACCATGGACTGTGCCAATTCTGTACTTGGAAAAGAGAAGGGACACTAAGATTAAACCCCATCTGCCTTGTGGCAGAGAATGGCTCTTTATAAACCCACAGCAGATGGGAGAAGGGCAAGGTGTTCACATGGTGAACTTACCCTTCCTCTGGTCCTCAGCCAAGCACAGCTGAACTCTGGCTTTTCCAGTTCTGTCCCTGCATGTCCGTGCAATGCTTGTGTGTGGCTCTCGGGTAGCTCAATGCTGCTCCCTTCTTCCACGCTCTTAACTTTTGCATTTAAACTCCATGCAGAACTTGCACGCCCCAGGCATCTCCAGTGCTTGCGGATGGCTGGACCTTCGGCTGCCTTGTATGATGGCTCTCATTAGTAAACCTGGGTTGATTTTAGAGGTGCAGATAACTAATTTGGCATTCCTCATTTCTGATTTTGTTGACTGACTCAGAAATGTCAGCAGGAAGCAGCCTGGGGGTTCCTTGCGTGTGAACAGGACAGGCCCCCTCACCCTGCACATGTCTGTGCATGATCTGCCCTCCAGTGGAGGAAAGCCCTTAGAGCCAGACTTGTTTCTCTGTGGGATGAATATTCCTCACTGCTCAACTTTGTGCCTTGAGCTGGCTGACGGTGTCCAACAAGGCTTTGTGTGCTCATCAGGACAACGGGCCTGGCATGGCAGGAACAGGTCCTGCTGCGCTCTGGGGAGACCCCCCCTGCAGTCCTCACCCAGCTCTGGGGCAGCAGCACAAGAGGGACTTGGAGGTGCTGGACTGAGTCCAGAGGTCATGGAGATGCAGCCCAAGATACGCTTGGCCTGATACAGTTGATACGCGGACTGACTCCACAACTCGTTAGAGTTGTAAAGTAGGTATGCTTTATTCAGCGCTGAGGCGCATGGGGGTTTCTCCTCCAAAAGCATGCGCGCCCCCCTTTGCCACTCAGTTCGTTTATATTACATATAATGATTACCTAAACGAGATTGCTTCACGCCTAATACACATGCAAAACGTATTCCCGTCTAGTATTATAATTAGTTTTCTGATATTTGTGCCATTGGTGCGCTTGCGCGGTGCCTCCTGGTGGTGGTCGTTAGGGGGTCATGAGGATGAAGGCCTGTAGTTCCTCTTCATCACCGCGAGTAACCTCTTGCTTTCACACAGACTCAATAGGGTTTCGGCTCCTGTCCAAACCTCAGGTTCAGTACAAGCCAGTTTTATGTATCTTAAAGTAGAAACTTATCAAGTTTGTAAATGTTGTTACTCTGGCTATCTTTTGTTCCTTTTCTTTCTAAAGATACTATTTGGACAATAATGTCTTAAATATTAAGCTATGAATCTTATCTACTACAATTCTGCCTAGCAGCTGTAACTCCCTACAATTCTGCTTCACCATTCTAGCAACTTTGACTCCTATGTTTCTGCTTCACCAAGCGCAGCGACTGCTTAAGCAAGCAGGCACAATGTTAACCCTTTATTTCCCGGTATCACAATACAATCTCATCCCAATAAGCTTGAGGCTGTTTTCTCTTCTTCCTTGGGAGCAGAGACCAGCCCCCTCCTGGCTCCATCCTCCCGTCAGGCAGTTGTAGGGAGCGAGGGCAGGTTGGACACAGGGGCTTGAAGCAAGCTATTCTAGTGGAAGGGGTCCCTGCTCTGGCAGGGGTTGGAGCTGGAGGAGCTTTAAGGTCCCTTCAACCCAACCCAGGCTGGGATGCTGTGATTTTACAATCAGCCTCCAGTGTTTCTTGACAGCACTTGGGATGTTTTCTCAGGAGCACAATGAATATTGTCTGTTTGCGGTGTTCTTTCTTTTCTTCTTGGGCTCTTCTGGGTTTCTGTCCTCTTGTATTGTACACCAAACCTTACCTTTTTGTTGCAGGAATGTCTCATCAACGGCATGTGGCTGATATCCAGAAGATACCCAGTTCCTGCAGTCCCCAGGGGTACAGTGTATGGCATGAGCCCACCTGGTTTAGAGACCCATCAGGTTGGTTAACAGCCGACTTCTTCTTATTTCAGGTCAAAAGTGCTTTCTCATCAGAGCATTGATCTGCTCGATCGGGATGGATCTCTGAGAAGCACCAGCTGTAGGCGGAAAGTTTCTACTTGTTAAGATGTATTTGATCAAGGAACATTGTAGTGACTGAGTCCAAGCGACAGAGTTCAGGCGTGGTAACTTCATCGACCAAGGGGTCCCTGCCCTGCCAGGGGCTGGCTGAGCCTTAAGGAGCCTTCCGCCCACCCCATGTCCCCGCGGGGCTCGCTCACACCCGCTCTGCGGGCGGCGCCGCCTCAGACCCCCGGTGCCTCCCCCTCATCGCCTCAGCCGTGCGCGGGAAGCGGGGACGCCGCAGTGCGCCTGCGCGGCTCCGTCCCGGCATGCCTCGCGCGCGGCCCGCGGGGCGGGCTCTCCTCACACAAAGGCGCAGCGCTGGGAAAATGGCGGCTACAGCGGCGGTCGGGGCGGCCACGGAGAACGCCGGCGGCAAAGTAGAGGCACCCGCGGCTGCCGCGGCGACAGCGGCGGCTCCGCAACCACCTAACGGGGCCGGGGGTGCTGTGGGGCCGCCCCCTAAGAGGTAGGGGGGGCCGCTGTGAGACCGCTCTGCCGCCAGGGCCTGCGGCGCCGCATGCGGCCTGCCCGCACCGCCGGCCCGGGCCCGGGGAGGGAAACCGGGGCCTCCGCCGCCGCCTCTCGAGGGCTTCTCTCGGCGGGGCGTGCGCTGGGACCAGAGCCGCTGCTGGGGCTGGGGCCCCTCTTCCCTTCCAGGCACACTCTGGGAGCTCGGGCGAGGCCTGCTCACTGGGAAGGCGCTTCCGGGGCTCCCGGAGCCTGAAGGAGGAGCGGGGAAGGAGCCGGTGCCAAGGGTTGGTGCTTTGTGCGGCTCCCCGCCCCGGTGTATGGCCGCCAGGGAGGTCCTGGAGATCTCTGCCTCCGCTTGGGAGGTGTTTGTGCTGGGCCTCAGCGGACAGCTTAAACCCTCTCCTGGAGGCGCAGGATTGTCCTTAGTTCGTTACTTTGGTTTCACGTGTAATAAGTTGTAATAGTTAAACTCTTCTCGACCTGGCCTTATGCTGCTGCAGGGTTTGGAGCAAAGCATGCTCTGTGCCATGGCTACGAGTGGAGGGGGTTGGGAATTGATACATAAATGCCTCATGAGTGAGAGCATGAAGGGGATGCCAAGCACTAAGTAAAGGTGGTGTGTGTGATGTCGATAAATGGTACAGAAAGTTAACAAGGAACCTGCAGGGGTTACAGCTGTGGGTTTGTAAATGTGGAGATGAGAAAGCTGGAACTGCCTGTTGCCATCCTGTGTTCATGTAACCTAATTCTGGAAAATTTCATAGTTAGCAAAGCTATTTGTTAGCTAATACTAAGTCTGTTGAATGAAGAGAGTATTTTTTCCAGTTAATTTTTGGCCCCAGGCCTTGAATGCTGTGGAGATAAGAATCAGGATTTTGAACCTGATGTTCTGTGAGTAACGTTTGAGACTCGAGGCCAGGTTTGTTCCTGAGGTGTGTTACATACCTGTGTGCCTTTGGGCTGCTGGTTGCTGCAGGCTGTTACACCCAGGCATGTTGTGTGCCTGTAGCCTGGCCCAAAGCTGACAGATCTGAGTGAGACCAGCTCGGGAGTCTGTAGGTAACCACATAACTGGTTATGGAGAGGAGATGAGGGTTTCTTGAGTTGGGAAACCGCTCTCTGCCTTTGCTGCTGGAGCTTGTGGGTGCTGTTTCACAAGAGCAGGAAGGTAACCAGCTTCCCAGGTGCTGCTTTTTGCTGTAAAATGTTCATATCTCTCTTTTTCCAACACAAAATAGTTAAATTGTGCTTATGGCAACTGAAACAATATCAGCACATGCAACTCTTCCTGCCAGGCAGGAACAGGCTTGTCCCGATCCCAGTGCCACAATGGCTCGTGCTCTGGTGACATATAATATAATACATTAGCCACTGCTGGAGAAGGATCTTCCTGTCATGTTCTCTTCTCCAGAATTGTCTTACACTTCAGGAATAGTCTCCTCATACAGGCAAAGATGTCTGCTGCTTTGTTCTCATCTCACCCCTAGCCCCCATTATGTTCGGAGTCTCTCCAGAGAGTTTTTCCTTTATCCAGGTACAGTTCTATCTGTCGCATTGAGCTCCATGTGGCAAAGCTGACACGTCTCCAGTGGTAACGCCAACGTTCGCGAATGTACTTTCAGTGTCCTCGAGCAGGGAGGAGGATGTGCCTATGTGGATTTCGATTCCTAGTGATCTCTGGGACGTTTGTTGGGCGGAGGGGGCGTGTTTAAGAAAATTTGGAGAGGAATGTGCATAACAGTTTGTTTCTTTGGAGGAGATAAGAGCTCCCCTTTCAGTTCCTCCTACACACATCACAAAGGGGAGTCTGGGTGAAGTGTTTTAGTTCTGTAACCCAGGGGGAAAACCCCACAGTAAATAAAATATCTTCTGAAAAGAGCCACTTAAATACATTATTTTCTGTAGATCTTGTGTAAGCCTTGATGTAAATGGAGCCTTGTTGCTCAGAGTGCTTCCTTCATGGGATGGGCAAAGCTGCTGTCTGTATTTCATCTCCCTTGCCCTTCTTAGAGATATGGATACTTGGGGTTACTCCCATGGTGTATTTTGGAGGTGATGTGGGGCTCATATCTTTCTGCTGTCTACAACTCCCTTGAAAAAAGCTGTAAGCAGTTGTTTTTGCACTTGTTAACCACATCTTAAGTAATCTCTGTGGACCTGTGCCTGTCCTTGTCCCTGTGTGTGAAACCCCTGGAGGAGCTGTCTGAAATCCTGCAGAAGAAAACGACTTTGCAGCTGCAGTAGTTTCCTTTTGACTTTGCTGGGGTTTGTATGCTAAATAAGGAATGGTGTTTTAGGTTAATGCTTGTCTTTAACAGCAGGTATTGTGGTTTGTCTGAGTTCTTCCCAGGTGTGTCAAAGCTTAAGGTGTCCTGAAGCTGACTTGGGAACCTTAAATGCGGGACTGCAGAAAAGGCCTGCATTGTACACATTACTTCAGAGTGTGTTATCCAGCACTTCAGCCCAGGGGAATTGTAACTAGTTCCAGTTGGAGGAATAACCATAAAACCTGGGGTGTAGCTTTGCGTACAAGCACTAAACGTTGTGCTGTTTGTTCAGCCAAACAGAAGTTAAGGTCTTGGAAGGATTGTCCTATTTTTAATCTATTTTTAGGGTTTTAATTACTTCATTATTCAAGACTCTTTTAAGAAGTCCAGTGAGGGAAGGTCTAACAAATGTAATTTTTTGTGAAGTAAATACTGTATGTAACTAGAAAGCACTTTTTATTTGAGTAGATATCTTTTTCCAGCTTATTACTTGCATGCAGAGCCTGTTCTTGGCATAAAGTGATAATAGCTGTACTTGGAGCCAAATTTGTGGTTCTGGCTGTATCCATAAAATACAATATTATTGTGTGTTTGCTTGTAACATATCCTTGTGACTGAAAAGTGATAAAACGGGGAACCTGCTCAAATGTAGAGCTTCATAGCTGTCTGTGTACCTGTTTGCTTTATTCCCCTGCAGGCTGTTGTATGCGTGCAGTGATTGAAATGGTTCTAAGGGCAGTGCTGGTGCAGGCGTGTGTTTACATCAGAGACAGTGTTTCTCACGTGGTTTGCACTTTGTAGGTCTTAAGTTGAGCAAAGCTCAGTGTATGTGCAGACAAGTTTAGAAACTTGACTAGCTGTTTTGACTTCCATGTTCTGAATTCTTTCTAAAGGTGTGTTTTTGCAACTTCTCAACCAGTATAAAGTGAACAAGGCGATTAATTGGATTAGTGATGGAAATTGTGTCTGGCTGAGTCTGAAGTGTTTCATTCTCCTGGGTTTTAAATACTGTTATTCAGCATTTGTGTTCTGCTGAGCCCTGAGGGTCACGGGGCTGGTTGAGAAATAGTCTTAATTTCTAATGCTTTTTCATTTTTGACCTGTTGGAGCTGGATTCTGAAGTAGCTAAAAGCACTGTTCAGTCTGTTGGGTGGAATGCACAGAGGCTTTGAATTTGTAATCCAAAACCTCTATTAATTAGAGGAAAAAAAGGTGGGTTTAGGTAAGAGTCATTGACCTGAGTGTTCAGTTAGATCCAGGATTATTTTGCTACAATTCTTCCAGTGTAAGACTATAGTTCTGGTGGGTCAGTTTTTACCTGACTAAATGGTGTTTAATTACTTGACCTAGTTGGTGTTTCAGCAGTGGAGTGGCTGGGGAGAGTATACATAGGGTGGACTGTCTGGTCTGGAGTGTCCCAAGGAGATGGACTGAGGCTTGGTCGGCTTTAAAGAGATTCAGCTTATAAAATAGCAACCTTGAGTTATGTTGGATAAATGTGGGAGGAACCAGTGGGTCTTCAAGGCATAAGTTGTCTGCTATTAGGAAATCTTTGTTGCAGTCTCCACCGTGTAGCTCTGGTGCTGTGAGCACCAGCTTTGGTTGAGAGGTGTCCAGTTGTGCCAGGATGAATGGATGGAACATTGCCAGTTTTGCTGTAGTGTTAAGAATGTAACAAGTTCTGTTCCCAGAGGTGGTATGACCCTGGTCCAATGCCAGAGTAGTTAATGTATGTGATTATCTTTCTTTGCTTGCAGTGAAGGTGAACGACCAAGCCAAAATGAAAAAAGGAAAGAGAAAAGTGTCAAAAGAGGAGGAAATCGCTTTGAGCCATATGCTAATCCTGCTAAGAGATACCGAGCTTTTATTACAAATATTCCCTTTGATGTGAAGTGGCAGTCTCTGAAAGACCTGGTCAAAGAGAAAGGTAATGTACAACTCAGGTGGCCAAGTGATGTCTGTCATCTTACTTGTGGCTGACTTTGTTTGTGAACTTACCACTTGACGTGCTGGGTGGACTTAGTGCCATGAGCTTCGTAAGAGGTCTTCTCGAAGCCTTCTTGGGTGTTGCACAGCATCTGTTCCCTGGCAGCCTTCCAGATGGATGCTTCTTTCTAGTCATGTTGGCATAGAGCTGGTAGTGCTTTATCAGAGATCTAACAGAGTATTTTTCTTAGGGGGGGAAATGAGATATTTATCAGGTTTTAGCCTTGATGTGCAACAAAATTCCTGAAGCATTTTACTGTCTTATGGGTAATAAAGGTAGTTCCTTACTGCTGCCCTGGTGTGTGTATATATAGCTGTGTCCCCAGCTTTGTAGTGATTTGTGCTTAGATAAAGATCCATCCTGCCATTTGGTTGCAGTAAAATCTATTTAAGGGTGACTTGCACAAAAGAAAAAGGAGGTTTGTGCTTTGTCATGTGCTGCAAGACAGGGCTTTGGAAATGGTGTTCATGGTGCTTCCCCCTTCCCCACTTGGATTTAATTGTCCCATGGGAATGGGAGTTGCCTTAGTTTGACTTTATCATCATTATCTTTTGGAAATGATGAAGACATTAAGCTGCTACTTGGGTTGTGGCAAGCCTAAATGTAGTGCTATTTCTTTAAGCTGATGCCTAACTTCTTTAATTTTCAAATCACCTTGGAAATGCAGTGGAGCGGCAAGAAAATACATAGCTTCTCCATCATCAAAATGATTCAAAACAAGAGTAACTAAGGCAACAATTCCTCTTGTGGGTCACTGCTAAAATACATAGCATCTGTCCTAAAGAGTGATTAGGGTTCACTTGTGTTTGCAGTAGGGAAGGAATGAGAGTTACTGTGCTTACAAGGTGTGGCCTAATGAAGGGGAAAACAAATTTCCAAAGGGTTTGAAAATCTTTGTCTTTGGAGGTAAACCGGAACTTGAGTCTTGTAAGAACAGTCAGGATGTGAGCCCTGGGAAGATTCCGTAATTAGAGGCCGTGGAATGTCCATGCTTGAGACTGAGCAATGGTTTTCTTTGATATGAAGAATTAGTCTTAAAGACTGCTTTACAAGGCCCTAATTATGAATGGTCCCTTGCCTCAAACTATGCTTTCACTTTGCTGCCCAAGATCATTGGTTAATAGGAGTACCTGTATGTGTAGATGTCTAATTTTAAGTACCCTGTTGAATTCCGTTCCAAGTGTCTTGTGGTTTCTCTCCAGTTCACGTGGATGGAAAAGTCCGGTGTGAGATTGTTTCCTGCCTTGCTGTTCAGCTGCTCATTCCAGCAGATACTCCTAGGGGAACGTTGAAACCTCTTCATTCTGTCTTCAGGGCTTGTTATGCTAAAGCCTGGGAAGCATTGTTCATGGTTTTTGGGACTGCTTGTTAAAATCCACCAGTTTAGATCTGATTGCATTCTAATCAGTCATTGACTTCTAACAAATCGGTGCTCTTGGGCTGTGCTTGAACTTGCTCAATTGGGACTTCTTGATACAAGGCATGGTAGTTCCAAGAACCAGGAATGTGGCTGTGGTAAAATCTAAACGTTAGAATTCTTGCTTTGTAAGTGTAAGAATTGCAGGCCAACCGTTCCAAGTTTGGGGAGCATGTGGAACAGTACACAAAGGGGAAATCTAGATGTTTCAGGACTGCTCCAGCGCTTGGCAGTCGTGAAGGCTTCAGCTGTTAGCAGCACTGGCATAGCAGGTTGCTGAACGTGGAGGAGTTCCCCTCCAGCTGGTTTGTGGCAGTAAGTATGGGTTAGGAGACGTGAGCTTTGAGGTCTGCTCACATTTCTGCAACCTGGTCGCTTCAGATGCGTACAGTCTTCTAAAGGTGCCATCTCGCAAGAGTAATGCCTTGGTTCAGGCATTTCAGTGTATCTGTTGGTGAAACTCAATTACAGGTATGCAGTACAACAGTTATTAATGATATTAAAAGATGTTCTTGTTTGAAACTCCCTCGTATTGGCTAATGAGCACAAGGTTCTGCTAAGCGACATGATCAGCATAGAGCTGGCAATTGGTGAATGGCTTCAGGAGAAGAATGGGGCAGCCTGGAAGCTGAGTCTAAACATGATTGAGTGGGAATGTGTCTGTCCCCCCAGTAGACAGCTCTGTCTTAAGGAGAGAAGTCGTAATTCTTCATGGCAGCTGGTTGAGTAAGGTGGTACCATATGATACAAAAGAACTTGTATTTGAATTCAGAGATTTCTTGGTTCCTTTAGGAAATAGAGAATTGTGTATTTGAAACAATTCAGAGGATGCAGGACACCCCAGAGACTCTTGGTGTTGGCATGGCTGTATCTACCATTCTGTAGGGCAGAGCTGGAATATGGAGCAGGCACTTACCTTCTCGGATCAAAACCTGGGGAGGAATAGAAGCCACAAAGCTTTTCCAGCTTGAACTTCCTTTGAAGAGCAGCAGCTGCTGAGCTTCATGTGCTGCCTTCATTCTTGCTTCGTCCCCAGGAATTTTTGGAACCTTTGTGGCCTCCTAAAAAGTACCTCTTGCTATCATATTCAATGCAGAGGTTGGTACAGCTCCCAGATGTTACCACTGGAGAGCACTTCTGTTCTGGCAGTACCTGCAAACAGTTGCTCTGGAAAATCCCTGGGTTTGGGTGCTCAGGATTCTAGTGCAGTGTGCTTGCAGGCTGAAGCTTTAGGTGGGTAAAGAGAAAGAGACAATTAAGCAATGTGGAAATGCTGCTTCCATCTGACTTGTTCCCCTTACTTTCAGGATGTGTGCTGAGGAGTTGCTTTAATGTCATTGGCCTTAACTATCTTTTCAAGGAGACACTGTTCTTCACCAGTGGCTGTGATGAGCCTTTTCACTCCCCCTTTCGTACATCAGCTCTGAAAGAGCCAAAATTATCCGTGGTTTTTCTTGGGTTCTTGTGCGAGAGTTTTCCCTTCCCCTACTGTAAAAGTACAGCTTGTGAGCTCTTTGTCTCTACTTCAGGAAGGTTTTCCTTCTCCCCATTTAACTACAACTTTTTAAGTGTATAAAGTGTGTTTCTCTTCTTTCTCCCCAGCCCAAACCACTGCATAAGTTTTTAGGGGTTGCCTGTTCTGAGCTTTGAACTGTAGATGGAGGAGCTGTGACCACCTCTGAATTGCCTCGTGTTGAAAGTACTGGGTTCTTTATCACAGGGTCCTCTTGAATCGGTCACACTACTTGTAGCTCTTTACTTCATAAGAGGATGAGACATCCATATAGTTTTGATAATGTCTTGAGAGTCTTCTTTCTCTACTTAGTATTCACTTTTGACCCTCTAGGCCAAAGACATAACTGACAGAAAGCATTTATCCTTTCTTCATGTTCTGTGTTTCTCCTTTTGCTGAGACTTGCCTCTACACCTTTCACACCTTTCACTGCTGCTTGGTTTGTCGCTGTTCAACTCGTCCAACTTAAGACTCTTTGAGGTTGACATCTGTGTCTGAGCTTGTATCCTAGGTACTTGCCCTGTCTTTAGGGCCAGGGAAAGCCATCTGAGCCATGCCTAAAATCACCATACAGGCAAACTTACCTGAACTTCAGCAGTCACTGGAGAGTATGAGAGTTCTGACGGACCAGCCTGGCTTGAACAGCTTCACTTTCTGTGCAGATAAACTTTGGGAAATGGATATAAAGTTGGGGGTGGGGGGTTGGGATAATTGCTGTAGTAAGTAACACTGGAGATTCCTTTGGTTTGTGCTTTGAGTTCTTACAGTGATTTCTACTTCAGTCCCTTGTTCAGGAAACTGAGTTTCTGACTTTCTCAAGTGTGAGGTTAATAAAGAAACTCATCAGTCTGTTCTGAGTTAAGTTTTAAGGACATGATGGGGAACGTGTTCCTTAATGATATTTGCATTGACTTGCAGCTAGTGTTTCATGCAAGTTTTATCTCCAGTAAGAAACCTGAGTTCCTTAAGTAAGTCTCATGTGCTTGGATGAAATTCCTTCTCTTGTGGATCCAGGATCTGTTTCCTCATAAAAACCAACTGCTCTCTGGCAGAAGGAAAACCTGCCTGGATCACTGGGCACTACATCTGCCTTCTGAAGTGATTTAGTACTGGGCTGTCTGCTCTGGGTACTTTTCCATGGCTTTATTATCTGTACACTGTTGTAGACTGCCCTTGCTCCTGTAACTGCATATCCAATGGTTTGGGGATCTAGAAAAAGCCAAATCAGATGTGACCCAGTACAGGCTCTTAAAGGAGTTTCCTTTGCCAGGTTCAAACAGTAGTCTCTTGGAACAAGGGTCATGTTGAATTGTTTTATGTTTTTTCAGGTGGTGGTGGTGGGGAAGGCATTTTTCTTGCAGTAGTTCTGTACTCTGGACTTGGTGTCTTGGATACTGAGCTGGTACATGACATGTGTGTTCTGCTTTTGCTTCCTTAATTTGGCTCTTCATGAAGTTCACATCTCCTTGGAAGGAGAACAGCTACTTCAGGATGTACCCTTCGTTTTTACTATAGGTGTCTATAAGGCTTGAACGTGAAGCACTGAGCAAAAGTGGCACATAAAAGATCTTCCAAGTGATGGACAAGTGCTGCTGTAACAGACTCCTGAAACCTTGTGGCTCAGAGGGCAGAGAGCTGTATTTAATATGTTATGTTCAAGCTTGGCAAACTCCTTTGGAGGTGTTTGTATGGATCTGAAGTAGGAATTGTAGCTGAACTCTATTAGTGATTGGGAGAGGAGACCCTTCAGTGTAGGGGCTTCTGGCCTCTGTGGGATGGAGTGGTTTGGTATTGCAGGTGATAGGGGAATTTCTTACTACATACATTGATGAATGACGTTTGCATTCTATGAACACAGTTGGGTTGGATTCTGGCTGCTGCTGTTGGAATGGATGGCTTCAGAATGCCTTGGTAATGCTGAAGGCTTGGGCTTGGTGCCTGGCTGCCATGTACCACCAAGGACTAGGCCAGGAGGGCTAGTTACAGTGCAGCCCCTTTCACTACAGAGACTGTGGAAACAATTCTGTGTACACTATAGGATCCCACACTGATGAGGTCATAGGGTGGAATTAATTTCGTTAGGCTATATTTCAGGGAGTATTGTTTCGATAGTGGAGCTATGGATAGTAATGGGACACTCATCTACCCTGTCTCTTTCAAAGGGACTTGTTACTCTCTACCAGTCTCAAATGCTATCCTCACAAACACATGAATGGATCAGAGCTTGTTTATTCTCTCTAGTTAACCCTAGGTAATGCTCTGAGGGCTGAAGCAGCTCTGCTCTGGAGACAGGCTCAGAGAGCTGGGCTGGTTCAACCTGGAGAAGACTCCGGGTACACCTTAGAGCAGCTCCCAGTTTCTAAAGGGCTACAGGAAACCTGGAGGGGGGCTTTGGAGAAGGGCCTGTAGGGACAGGCCAAGGGGAATGGCTTTAACCTGCCAGAGGGGAAACTGAGATGAGCTCTTAGGCAGAAGCTCTTCCCTGTGAGGGTGCTGAGGCGCTGGCACAGGGTGCCCAGAGAAGCTGTGGCTGCCCCATCCCTGGCAGTGTTCAAGGCCAGGTTGGATAGAGCCAGTGGAAGGTGTCCCTGCCTGGGACAGGGGGCTAGAACTGGATGGGCTTTAAGGTCCATTCACTCAAACCAGTCTGTGATTCCGTGAATGTTCTCTGGCTGGAATGCTGCTATTGCTAATTATTTATGTATTGAAATAAAAAGCAAGGAGCTAAAGTGGTGATTTCACGAAGTATTCCTTTTCTTCCAGCATTGACAGAGACTTTTCAGATGTTCATTTCACATCATGACACTGGGTGTCCTACAGATGACTGGTCCTGTGGGAGGTCAGGTCACCTCTTCCTCCCTCTGTCCCTTGCTAAGAACTAGACTCTTGAATGTGAGATTCCAGTTCCTTATTCAAAGCTTGCTGTCAGTATTCATGCTGGGAAGTGGTTTTCCACAGACTGCTTCCCACCTTTCAGCTAATGCAACTTGGAGTCTTCCTGTCCTAAACTGAAAATCTAGGACTTTCTAAAACCACAAAGAAGAAGTAAAAACCTCTTTACTTCTTTGATCCTTCTGTACCCCAGTCACTTCACAGGCAGCAGCTGCTTTGGAGTTGTGTTCTGAAGGTACAGGACATGGTTCTGTGGTCATAAAAAGGCAGTCCTGATCTTGGGAGGAAAGGTGCCAATGTTGTGTTTTGGTGTGCTTTGCTGTAGATGGTTTTGTATTGAGAGCAAGTACATCTAGCTGTTTCATACTATTTATTGAGGCTGGGAAATAGACTTGATTGTGGCTTAACTAAAGGCTGACAACGTACTGAGATAAATAGTAGGCAGTCAGCTGGGTGTTGACTGAGTGTGACTCCCTTTGAAGTTGGTCTTTAAGTCCAGAGAAAAGCAAATAACTTCAAGTCCTGCACTATGGAGGCAGGGTTTCATACTGGAGAAGTGAAGGAGACTTGTTCTTGCAGACTTTCCTATGGATTTGGATTGCCTCGAGTAAGGATTGAGTACTAGAGATCAAGGCAAGAGGTACTGTGGCAATAGCTGGCTTTTGAAATGGAGGAAAATCAAGAACATATTTAACTGGTTTAAGATTTCACTGCATACCTGTAATTGTCCAGTTTTGTGGTCTAGAGAACATGGAGTGTTTCTGGGCTTGCTTATAAGGCAGAGGCTCCATACACGGTTGTTGATTGTTCTAAATTCCCATTGTTTTCTTGGCTTTTCTCCCTTGGTATATGTGTCGTCTGGAATCTGATTTGTAGTTGGTGAGGTAACATACGTGGAGCTCTTAATGGACGCTGAAGGAAAGTCAAGGGTAAGTGTTTGAGAGCTTTCTTCTGTGGATTTTCTACATGCCAAATGTAACTGTATGGTGGCGTCAGGAAGGTAGAGAGTGTGTATGGTTAGTGGCTACACCATAGGGCTGCTTAAAGCTGCTTTTGGGGTGGGTGGAGGTGGGATGGGGCCTCGTAACCAGCGTTAGGGTGGTTTTCCACTGTGTTCAGTTGGCGTTGGCTGTTTGAATGACCCAGGGACCCTAGCAGTATGTATAGTGTTATGGAATTTAATGTAATCCTTGTGTTTTGGATAACGTCACTGTAGTGGTTTGCTGAATTTGGAAGGCTAGTGTGCAAGAGCAGGTTCTGTAAGTACACTTCCTGTGCCAGGAAGTTAGTTCCTGTGCATAAATGTATAGTGCCTTCATAGGTCCTTTAGTCCAGTGACAGTATCTCACAGGGAAAAACCCACTAGGAGCACACTTACTGTTGAAGGAGATGGATTTAGGGTGAGAGAATATGCTGAGGGCTTTGCTGGATGCCAGGGAAGATCAGGTCATGTGAAGCGTGTGGTATTCTTCTTGGAGAATCGGGACTTAGTTCTGTTTGTTCCAACTTCAGAATCGACAGTTTAACCCCATTAACACAAATTATATCTTATGGAATTCAAGTATTGGAGGCTTTATTGCGTAAGATTGTTTGGTTTTGCTACTAGGGCTGACTAATGTGATTTGACTTTAAAGCAAAGTAAATGAGTTGTGTATGTTGTGCTTTTACTGACTTGATTTCTTCTTTCTTCCCTCCTCCCTGTGAAATCGCCTGCGAAATCGCCTCATCAGGGATGCGCGTAAGTTCACTTCTGAGTTTATAGCAAGAAATGAGGAAACTCTGCAGAGATCAGCAATGTTCTTAGCTGTCTTGTATCCCCACAGTGTTGTTGAGTTCAAGATGGAAGAAAGCATGAAAAAGGCTGCGGAGGTTTTGAACAAGCATAGTCTTGGTGGAAGACCATTGAAAGTGAAAGAAGTAAGACGTGCATCTGTTCTTTCAGTATGTTGAATTTGAAGGTGAAGGGGTAGTTCTTGGATTTATGGCATTGTAGATAAGTCCTAACTTTTGTCAGTTATTCTTATCAAATAAGATTGAAAATGCACAGTGAGCCACTTGTTACCATTGGCACATACTGCTGAGGTTGAGTTTGGACATGATGATCAAGACTAAGCTTGATTTTTTTTTTTTTTTTTTTAAGAGTAGGTGCTGATGGGGGCACAGCTTGGACAGAGCAAGAGTTTGGCTTTAACTGCAGGTCTGCTTTCTTGTTTAGTGTTTTCAAGGAGAAATATGCATAAATATTGTTTGTTCTTGACTGCTTTCCCTTTTAATTCTGCATCCTAACGAATGTATTCTACACACAAATCCATAGAACAGGCTGATTTCTGAAATCCTTCCAAAATTTATTTCCATTTTAATGGCTTTGCTGTTGTCAGCTACTATGACATGCTCAGCTGCACCACTGTCAACCAGTACGACATGCTCAGCTGAGCTATGAGTTAATACTTGACCATTGAGAAGTTTAAAGGTTTATTCCAGCAGGTTGGAACTTGGAGCTGCATTGAAGGTTCAACTAAACAACAATAAAAATGATTTACTTCAGTTGGCTTTGACATGGCCTTGGGGTATGTGAGCTATGCTCTTGGCTAAGCAGACTCCACGTTCTGTTGTGCCCTGCCCGTTTAACGGTGGGGTGAAAGACATCTACACAAGTGTAACACAGAGAGCTGGGTGCAGGAGGTCTTCCACTGGTACCCTGCTTCTTGCTATAGTCTGAGCAGCACTTGGGAGCAAGGATGGGACAAGTGGCAGCACTTCTCAGATCTCTCAGGTTTCCTAAGTTGGGAGCAGCAGCCTGCTTCTGGAATAAGCCACCTCCTGTTCTGTATTAGTAGTCACTTTTCTCCTCCTTAGTAGCTGGTGCAGTGCTGTGTTTTTGACTTTCAGCCTGGGAACAACGCTGATAACACCGGTGTTTTTAGTTGTTGCTCAGTAATGTTTATTCCGACCAAGGACTTTCTGAGTCTCGTGCTCTGCCAGGGAGGAGGGGGAGCCGGGAGGAAGCAGGGACAGGACACCTGACCCAAACTAGCCCGAGGGGTATTCCGTACCACAGCACGTCATGCCCACTATATAAACTGGGGGCAGTTATCTGGAAGGGCTAGATCGCTGCTCAGGTCTGGTTGGGTATCGGTCGGCAGGTGGTGAGCGGTTGTATTCTCTCCCCTTATTTCCCTTATCGTTATTGTTAATGGTGGCAGCAGTAGTGATTTTTGTGTTATACCTTGGTTACTGGACTGCTCTTATGTCAGCCTGTGGGAGTTACGTTCTCTTGATTCTCTTCTTCATCCCTCCGGGAGCTGGGGGAGGAAGAAGTGGGAGGAGTGAGCGAGCGGCTGCGTGGTTCCGAGTTACCGGCTGCGCTTAAACCATGACAAAGTGATACCCTATTTTAACAATGAAATAGGAAATGAAACTTGAGAAGTGACTTGATTCACTTTAATATGTTCTCCGTCTCACACTGCTGTGATTCCCTGTAGCTGAAACACTCCTGTGGAAGTTATCCTTGCTCCTGTCTCAAAACGTGCTGTTGTTTAGTCTTCAAATTCAGATCAAGACTCAAATTAACTCAAGAAGAAGAATCTGTATTTCTGACTGATTCTATTTGATATTTTGCCTTCTTCCAGCAGTCGGTGCATTTTGCTTACTGAATAGAGTGTGATGTTTCCAACCTAAGCAACAGGTTCACCTTTTATTGTGAAGGCGCTTACAGTCATGAGTATAAAGTGACAAAAATGAGTCTTATTTCCTTCCTTGAATTCTTCATCCTTTGCTTCTTGTTCTCCAGCGTGTCCTGAAATAATGAAATTATGGAGTAATGGGGGGATGCATTAAAAGTTGTTTTGGGGTTAGAAAGCCAGTGGGGATGGGGAAAGTGTTGCCCAAACCAATATTCTTGGTGTCGACACTATCCTGGCTTGTCAAGAAGTCCAGGTGCAAGGTCAATGAGTTGTTGAGTTAGTTGGCATTTGTCTTCTGAAGCCTCTCCAGTGCCATTCTGGGTTTGTCGTCTTTGGAGCAGATGTAACTGAGGCTTATTGCTGGTCTTGAATGATAGAACAATCTCTTTCAGGCTCCGGGGAAGAGCAGGGATAACTTGAAGGCTGCTGGCATGCTGGTTAGGAGAAAATAAACTGGGAGGGGGGTGTGGGAGTGGCAGTAATGGCTGAAGTGGTTGGCTGGGGGTGTCTGTAGAGAACAGGAAGCCCTGGGTAAAGGGTACCCCATCTTTTGCATGTCTTAGTCATGCCAGTAAGTACCCAGGCACTTAGTGCAGTACAGAGGGAACAGAGTGTGTTGTTTCTATATCTGCAGGACCCTGATGGGGAGCACGCCAGGAGAGCGATGCAGAAGGTCATGGCAGCAGCCAGTGGAATGGGGGTTGGTCCAGGCCCAGGTGGCCCCGGCATGATCAGTATCCCTCCCAGTATCCTCAACAACCCCAACATACCCAATGAGATCATCCATGCTTTACAGGCAGGAAGACTTGGGAGCACTGTCTTCGTTGCAAATGTAAGTGCTGTGTAAACTCTGTGAAGACTTTGTTTCTGAAGCTGCCTCGTAGCAGGAAAGGAAACAAAGGAGCATTAAAACTGGGTGTTGATGGAAATCTTTCTCCTATTCCCAATATTTCTTGTCTTCCAGTTGGATTACAAGGTTGGTTGGAAGAAACTGAAGGAGGTGTTCAGCATGGCTGGAGTTGTGGTTCGGGCAGACATACTTGAAGATAAAGATGGCAAAAGTCGTGGCATCGGCACTGTCACTTTCGAGCAAGCCATAGAGGCTGTTCAAGCTATATGTATCCTTGAAGAGTAATGGTGGTAAACAGTAGGCAAATAACTTAGCAAACAAAGCAGGATGGAAATCTCAACTGTGGTATTATAAGTGAGGATGTTGCCTTGACACAGCCAACCCATTGCACTGGATGGAAAATGAAAACTGGAAAACAGGAAGGTCCATCTTGAAAGAATTGTTATAGGCTCTGAATCATTAACAAAGCTGATTCTCTTTCGTACCTGAATATATGTATATCTAGCCCAAATAGTCAATTTCTCACTCTAGGTTGTAGCTAGTACTAAAATGCAGCTGCTGAGAAAGGATTTGTCTTCAATTCCTATGGTGGAGACAAAGAAACACCAAATCCACTTGCTGTGTAAGATGGTTTGACTGGTGTGTTACATAGCAATCCACAAATCCCAAACCATACTGCTGTGTGCATGAGCTGTGCTATGGAAAGGAAGAAAATATTTCCCTCTTTTCCCTCCCTAAGGTGCTGTTTAAATGTTCATTCCATTCTGCATGTGCACATTATAAGGGAAGTGTTGTGGGAGTGAGACTTAGACAATTTCATGTGATTCATTACTGTGGCTTACGTCCAAATCTGGCTATTGGTTGAGTTGGAAACATTGAACTTTTGCCTATTTTCTCCTGTTTTACATGGCTAAAGTTACTGATATGTGAACACCTAGGCTGGTTTGGAGTCATATTTTGAGTGATCTCTTGATGAACTTAAGCAGAAGGGTGTTTTCTCTTACCTCCCATTTTAATTTGAAAAAGCCATTCTTTGACTATTCAGTTATCTGGGTTTCAAAGCTTTTTTTGTTCTAGAACAAACAGAAGGATATTTGATAATGTGTGACTGATAGCTGAAGAAGTGGCCTAGAGAGGTGATGGTTTGACTGGGTTTTTGCTCTCTGCATCAGACAGTGCTTAAAGCTTTAAGACTTTGGTCCTAGGTCTTGAGTAATGATCCTTAATGAAACTGCAGCAATGTTTAACGGGCAGCTGCTGTTTGACAGACCGATGCACGTAAAAATGGTGAGTACATTCAAACTCTTCCTGCTTTCTGAAGTGGTAAATGTGCTCCTGGTTTTGGGCAATGAACGGTTTCAAGGTTGGGTTGAATTATTGTGGTGGGACACGTGTGTGTGACTTTGGATGCCAAAGAGGGGCTCTTCATCAGGGACTGTACTGGTAGGACAAGGGGCAATGGGTTCAAACTGAGAGGAGATTCAGGATAGATAGA